ATGGACGTTTTTTTTTTTATTTTGAAAATCAACAGTTTGCATTATGCAATTAAAAATCCTAACCAATAAAGTAGGGAATAGCTATCCAACTGTTGTTTTAGTTGTATTTTACTTCATATTATAGTTATATCAATGTAAATCATTGTTTTCCCTTGTGTTTCTCATTCTTTCCCTGCCATGTGGTAAAATGTGGTGAACCCATCGCTGTATTTGCTCCAAAGCAAATATTGGCCTTTCTAGTCTAGTTCTGCATCATCTCTTTGAACCAAGAAATCAAAAATTAGCAAGGCCAGGAATAGAGAAGGGCCTCTTTATCACAAAAACGTAGCTGATATTCACAGATAAACATTCTTAAGCTTAGCGTGACAGAGGCTCAATGTAATATTACCAGCTGGTATTGAATGCCTGCGTAGTTATTGTGTTTCACTCAAGTCAAAGGCAACTATATCTGATGATTGATGGATACATACTACTGTTGAGGAGGGATAAGAACTCGTTGCTTTCTTTCATTTCACTTGTTTAGTTATTGAATAATCCCATATAGGAAAGAGAAGCACATGAATACAAACTACACAAATATTGTTCACGAATAGATTTTGCACTGTGAGCTTTCAAACACTGTAGCAAAATTAATATTAATCAAAGAAACATGATAATTCAAACTGACAGATTTTAAATGGTTACATAGTATTACATAGTATTACTAAAGTCATTTGAAGTTTAAAAAAAAAATAATACGATGCCTGATGTCACCTTGACCCAAAAGATATTATTGTAATCCAAATAGAAATCAAATATATACAGCACAATATTTACGAGAAGAAAGTGGCCCTGAATGTTTGACATTGTGATTGTCTGGACTGGTATTGACATTGTTCCAAATCCAGTAAGCCTTGGTCAAGAACAAAGGTCACTTGTGACATTGTGTAATACACACTGTAATATATATATAAAGGGCACACTGATATACTAGTTAGCCTTCGTAGCAGGCTTATAGAACTGGGGGTTTGGTGGTCTTCGGCTGTTTTCTGATTAGCCCAGTTCTAAAAAAAACGGGGGTAATTCAACCAGGCCGGCTATATGTTGTCTATATGCAATCAGAAAATAGCACATAAAAGATCCCAAAGACCCTGAAGACCCCCAAAACCCCCAGTTTTTGGCATGATATGGAGGCTATATACTACTAATGATGTGTATAGAATATACTGTAATCACTTTAAATTTGCTGTACTTTTATATTTGCGCTTTTTTTTGGCATTTCTGTAACGCAAAGTTATCATTACTGACGCAAATAATTCATCAACTTTCTATTTTCTGTTCCTGCCACCACTCCGAACACATAGTTCTGCAAACATGTCCATTTTACTCAGATTGCGAAATTTTGCTGCCACGAATATAAAGTGATTTACAGTGGTCTTCAACAGATTTTGTGGTCGGCTAGAATTGTACAAATTACTCAAATTGATCGATAAATTGCCAGAGGCATTTGCTGGCCTTTCAGTTTGACTATTTGCAACCTCGTCGTGTCAAATGAGTTTGCACCTAGTGTATATAGGTATTTAGATTTATGAAGTACATTGTAAACGTACACTAAAACTGTAATGTATATATACAGTACTCTTATACAGTGTGTTTCACTGTTTACAAACTTAACCTGATTTCAGCTAAAATATATTATAACGTATGGTACATAAGCTAAAATCACTGATAAAAGTCCGGATTTTTTTTTTAAAGTACAGAACGCAATGTCTTGGTGTACGTGTGCACGTACATGTTCTGCTATATATATTGGCAAGATCTTCTTGATATTTGGCATGTAACCAAAACGTACACAGGTCAGTAACACACTTGTGTAGCTGACAATGCACTTTGCCAGTTCTATAGAAGGTACTAGATAGTTTGAATCAGTACTGGTAGAAAATACGACAGAGAAGGGTGTAGAATATAAACATTTGGAACAGAACATCATAACATTTGCGAAGGAAAATAAGTTATATAATATGCGGAAACGGCCAAGTTCGAAAAGCGTTGTTACATGGTAGACGTTTTGTTTGCGAATGTCAAATCTCACTACAAAGCTGTGCTTTTTTCCAGGTTAAAAAAGCGCAGTCTGACGGAACAGCGGCAGTGAAAGAAGCTAGATTGGACCGCTGTCACCCGAGTCCTAAAAGCGCACTGAACCAAAACTTAGCCGAATTTTTCTCCGGGGGTTTGGCTAAGGTAGCTATAGGGGCTCGGACACAGGACATGTCAGCGTACGCACGGGCGTTTTACACAAAAACTACGGCACTGAGAGTTACACCAACGAGCTTACCTGGGTTGTGGTTCAGGTACAGGCGTCCTGAACTCGGGAGGAGCGTCGAAACTTCCTTTACTCGAAGTTTTCTTGAGAATTCCGCGGCGCGGCTGCTTGTCCGGATCGTGAACCGCCGCCATGATGGATCCGATTGGTGCCGCAAATCGGCCCGGTCGTAAAATCCGACAAATCGCTAGGACCGATGGGAAGATGCACCTACCAATGTCATACTGGAAGGGGATTGGGGTAACCGTATAGACGTATAATAATACTATAGCCTCTACCAGGCTTGGGGAGGCGGCTGGAAAGAGTAGAAATTGGCCAAACAGAGAGATAAGCATGCCAAGGGAGTTTGTTCGTTGGGGTACGGCGAAATGTTCTCTCAATGGACAAACTCCCTTGGCATGTTATCTCTCTATTTGGCCGATTTCTACTCTTTCCAGCCGCCTCCCCAAGCCTGGTAGAGGCTAGTATGATAAAGCATATAGATGAAATTTGCTTCATATGTGAATAAAGCTAAAGAATGAGTTTACTTTTAGAAGTTAGAAATATTTTTCTTGAGTCTAAACCTGGGCATTACCTTCAAATAAACGTTACAATAGGCCAATGGATACAGGCGGCCAATAAAGACTCCCCTTGTCCCACTGTATCTGCTTGGAGATTACCGTTATGTATGTAAATATAATATAATAAAATATACAATAATGTATGCAGTTTTCCATATTGACAGCTACTAATTACGCATATCAAATGTCCTGTCCGTTCCAAAATGACCTTTGATTTGAAAGTCACGTTCTTTTCGGATCTATCATGGCGGACCCGAAAGGTGTGTGTGTACAATCGGACCAAAGGTTTCCTCACAGTGTAGCACAACAAGACTGTTATCGCACCGATAGAACGCGCGATTTTTATTTGATAACATAAGAAACAACAAAATTCGATCCATCTGGCTTTGTTATAAGTTATTTGTGGATACCAACCAGTTCGAATCACCGATATTCAACGCTTGTTTTAATTTTTGTCCTGATTTGAACATTACAAATTTCACCATGCTCCATCTAACGTAGGAGAAAGCTTCTTGCAATAACTCTTGCAAATCCACGCGCCGGTCTTATGACTTTGATTTGTGGCGTCGCCTGAAATAAAAATGAATCAATCTTTCTCAAGATACTGAATCTTTTGCTTCCCCGCATATGACTGTCTAAAAAAAGTCACGCTGTCGCTTGGGGCTCCAAAGTCCAAATTGCACGTAGCGAAGGTTTTATTTTTAAATTACAGTTCGTAAGTTCTTAAGTTTGCGTATGAATAATTCTCATCTAATCGTCTCGTTGGTGAGTTAAAACTACAGGGAATTCGCGCCATAGTTGTGGACTGTGTCGTACAAAAGAAATACAACTGTCTTGCGACAGAAAAGGTTGCCGTACAGTAAAATCCCCCTATTGGTGGTGGGTTCTGCAACAACAGCTTCTCTGAAAAAATCGTACCAGAAAAATCGTACGTCGCTTAGCCTATAGCCTCCACCAGGACGGTAGAATTCGGTAGCCTCCATAGCAGCCTTACAGAACTGGGCGTTTGGTGGTCTTCGGCTGTTTTCTGATTAGCCCAGTTCTAAAAAAAACGGGGGTAATTCAACCAGGCCGGCTATGTTGTCTATATGCAATCAGAAAATAGCACATAAAAGCTCCCAAAGACCATGCAGACCCCTAAAACCCCCAGTTTTTGGCTTGCTATGGAGGATACGTTTTTAGCCTGTTACTTAGAGACTATATATGTGTCTGTGGGTCACACAGGTGGCCGACCTTGAAATCCGAGCCCTTATACCGTGTTGACGTAAGGAGTGACGTGTAAAGCGGGGCGTTTGATCTGGAGTAAGATATCAGCCACGCCCCCTTTCTGGTGGGTCAGAGTACCTGCGGGCGATGCCTGTGTCATCCGCAAGGGGCGCACTTGTACGGTCACAAGGGGAGGGGGCCTCTTGTCTTTCTCTTTATTTTCGATCCCTTTCGCGCAAAAGGCTAATCTTCTGGGGCTCATACAGAAATAAAAGCACATACTAGAAAGGCCGACATTTGCTTGAGAGCAAATGCAGCAGATGGCTTCACCACATCCCCCATACCGAAAATGGATCTATCCTACGATGGCTGCCAATAGTCTACACCCCCATGCAGCAATGGAACCTTCCAATGCCGGAAATAGCCAAAAAGCCCTATTTTACATAACTTTAAAGTGGTGTATGTCAAAATCGAGAATGACATTCTTTGGACATGTGTCCAAGGTATCCCCATACCAAATTTCAGGTCATTCGGATTTAATATTAGGGCACAGGAGCCAAAAATGTACATTTTTGGTCCGAAAATAGCCAAAAAGCCTTATTTTTCCCAATTATTAAGTGGTGTATGTCAAAAGCTTGAATGACTTTTTGTAGACATATGTCCAAGGTATCCCCATACCAAATTTCAGGTCATTTGGTTTTAGTACCTGGGAACCAGATCTCAAAATGTATATTTTTGCCTGAAAATGGCCAAAAAAACAAATAAAACAATTTTTCAAAAAAATGAAAAAACGCGTCAGGGTATTTGCCCACTCTACCCTCATGCCAAATTTCGTGTTATTTGGCCAGAAAATGGCAGAGATGAATCCATTTAAAGAAATGGCAGGAGGAGAAGGAGGAGGAGAAGGAGAAGAAGAAACATGAGGGAACACAATATGTCTTCACCACTTTGTGGTGAAGCCATAATAAATGTACCTTGTATCCAGTACCGTGCCTAGTAAGTTTTGAATGGGTTAGGTTTAGGATCAGGCACGGTTCTGGATAGTCTCCGCGTATCCAACAACATAGAAGTTAGAACATATTAGGTTTGCCCCAAGCAACGTGATCTCTGGATACACGTGGACTATCCAGAACCGTGCTTAGGCCACTTCGGAACGTTTCTTCTTATCCTAAACCGTGGCTGAACATGTTTTTAGAGAATCTTTATTGACACAACAAAAAAGTACAGAGTTTTATATGGTCTTCTACAAAACTAAAGATCTAACAAAGCTAAATACATGTATCATGTTTTTGGATAAAGCACGGTTCTTGATACAATACAGAACAACTCCTGTAATCAAATGTGCAAAGATGGAGTGTAACAAGTTGTTCGGTGCAATATAGTCAGCTGCCGCCGCGCCGCGTGCCTGCGAAGCTGGTGTGTTACGCCGAAGGGCGGTTATACTGACTATACAGATACAGAACTAGTAATCTACATTTAATTTGTTCCAGTGTTTCCGTTGAAATGCGGCACGCAGCTGTACCTATGGGGGAAAAAAGGCCGACAGAGCGAAGTGGCGAGACTTCTGGAGTCCAGTCCGTATCAGACTGGCTTTTCTCTTAACCCGGAAACAACATACGCAGAGGTACGTGAGAAACTTGAGAAAATCTTCAGAAACTTTCAGAAAAGTGCAGAAACGTTCAGAAAAGTGCAGTTTCGAGACACCTTTGAAGTAAAACTTTGAAAATATTGAACCATGATAGGGGACTCGATTTTTGGCTGTATGTATGTGTGTGTGTGTGTGTGTGTGTGTGTGCGTGCGTGCGTGCGTGCGTGCGTGCGTGTGTGTGTGTGTGAAGGTCTTGGGAAAAATCACCCCCCAAAAAAACTAAACTCCAGTTGTACATGGAATAATGAGATCTCCGAACTGTTGTTTCAGCTATGGATGGGTACCCACCGGAAGTCGCCCTGTTACGTGGCTGACACGGACATGACCCTGGAGGCCTGGATAGACGCACATCCGGACTGTCTGGGCCAAAAAGTGCGGGAAAAGTTCAAAGGTCAGCTGCCCTTCATCATGAAGGTGCTGTCCTTTGACACGGCCCTGCCTCTCCAGGCACATCCTAATAAGGTATAAACATCCTAATAAGGCATCGATATCCTTATAAGGCATTGATATCCTTATAAGGCATTGATATCCTTATAAGGCATTGACATCCTTATAAGGTATTGGTATCCTTACAAGGCACTTATATACTTATAAGGCATCAATATCCTTATGAGGCATTGGAACCAAGTTGTAAGGAGGCCTTGATATCCTTATAAGGCATTGATGTCCTTATAAGGCAGGCCCATTTAAGTATTGCATGAGTAAACAAAGGCGGTGCTGAAAAAGTGGCTCTTTCCTTGGTGCTGATTTCTCATTCCATGTACACACGCGCTTGGTATATCCTGATTTTATGTTTTAGTCACAAGTGTAGTGCATCAAAAATGTATTATTTTCATGAATAATATAATATCATGAACTTTTTGTTGTTTTCAAAAAGCTGCGACAGGGAATCTGTGTCAAATAAGATGCTAAACGGTTTCATACTGATAACTATTGATAGCTTTTAGTATGATATTACTAGTAGTATGATACTAAACTATTAATGCTAAAATATGTTGCCATAGAAACACGCTGAGGAACTGTTCGCCAGTGCGCCTGAGAAGTACCCGGATGACAACCACAAACCTGAGATCGCCATCGCTCTGACTAACATGCGGGGCATGTGCGGGTTCAGGCCACTGGGAGAGATAGCGGGATACCTCGAAGGGTAGGGATGGATGGATGGATGGATGGATGGATGGATGGATGGATGGATGGATGGATGGATGGATGGAGGATGGATGTGGATGGATGGATGGATGGATGACAA